AACCAAAATGTAACAGGGTCACTCTAATCCAATTTATTCGTCGTTCATCTGCGTATGAAATAGAAATAAACCTATCGCACAGTTCGTTACGTATGACGAATTTCGTCATATGCACTGATTGTACGTATTTTCATATACTTTAGTGTGTTCTATATCTGAGGACGAAACTTCGTTCCGAAAAATTCGTCGTTCGTCCCAATTGTGCGTATAGCATTATTTTATTACACCGTGATACAATTTTTAATAATTTTTTTTTGGACTTGAACGAAGCCATATAAACATGATACTAGAGGTTATCTAAAGTGAAACTGCGTTAAAGGACTTTAAAGTTGTAAGGATATTAAAATTTATTAAAATATATTTACTGAACAATTTCCGTCAATATGGGTATCAAATGACAGAGGATAATCTCCGAAAATCAATTCTATTTACTGTTTTTTCAGGACGAAATATTTTAAATAATGCCCTTTGAGAATTTCATCCTTTCATATCCTTTATTGTTATTTGTTTTTTAAATAAATATAAGTTGAAACCTTGTGTATTCTTTACCACATACTTAAAATTTATTTCTATAGCATTATTAGCTAAGTTACTAGAAACAATTATATTATTACTCTAATATGAAAAAATTAATTTCTTGACATTACTTTTTGGACTTAAACAAAACCAAATACAACGAAAGTAGAGTTTTTATATTGAAAAACTGTATACTCAGTTTTAAATTTTCTGATCCCTTTTCCTTTTTAAAGGACTTTAAAATTTTTGAGGATTTAATATTTTTATTCAAATATTTGTATCCTGTGTTACTGGGAGTGAAATTAAGTAGTACGGTCTCTAAAAGTGGAAATATCCTTTTAAAATATTATTCTTCCATATAAAGGATGAAATTATTATATTGATAATTTTTTTATTTTTCAGGACAAACAATATTAAAATTGTATTAATAATTCAAATCTTTACAAAAATATATGGCCAATTTCGTGTTCCGTCTGAACGTAGCTTTAGACGGAAAAAGATAATTGAACAAAAATTTTATATTATTAATTAAGGTATATTTAATTGATTTGCATTAAATAATATGTTTCTTACTATTTTTGGCATTTAGGAAGATTTCATTTTTTCTAATATTTCTTAAAATTGTGTCTGATATGGAATAAAAGAAGGAAAAAAGGGATATTTATTAACATTTTATTTACAATAAAAAATCAGATCTTTAAAAATAACATTAGCTTCTATTTTAAATAAACTTTTCATTCATGTTTTTCAATTTATTAAAATTTTGTTGACATTTTAATTTTTTTCTTTGTTTTGTTTTTCTCGTTTTTCTTGTGTAGCGTCGTATTTTTTAGTATTATTTAGGAAAAAACTGAGTTGCATCACTAAAAACTATTCGATTTTGAGTGGATTTTAACGAAATCTTTGTTTTTCTCGTTTTTCTTGTGTAGCGTCGTATTATTTAGGAAAAAACAGAGTTACATCACATTTTGAGTAGATTTTAACGAAATCTAGTTACGAAGTAGAATTTGTTTTGTATGGTAAATCTAGTTAAAATCAACTAGATTTGGCTCGAAATCTCATAAGTACTAGATTTTGTGTATGTGTAAATGGGGTATAAGTCATGGTTAAAAATTAAAATTTGAAAATTCAAACTTTACGATTTTTGTTTATATAAAAATAAAATTCCTACAATTAGCATAATTTTACTTTACAAAGTCAGTCATATTTTGTAAACAGGGTCCAAAACAGATTCATAAATTTTTTTTCATAATATTCAAGAATATATATATTTCATATAATAAAACATAAAATTTATAATGAATCTTATTTTTGTCCGATAACTGACATATACTTCTTATGCATACCCGGATATGTTGGGTGTTGATGTACGAGGTAAAATTAGAAAATCGGTCATAAATCGGTTTTAAAAATATAGTCGGTTTAGTTACATTACTCTGAGAGAATACCTAAAATTTCAAGTCGATGCGATATATAGATCTCGAGATATATCACTTTGAAAATAAAAAACATACCCGTGTATATGCCCTGCCAGCAACTCAACTAACTTTAAATGCATTAAAAGCCGACTTTTTCATCAACTAGTTATGGATTATTTTTAATGGAGCCAACTGACTATTTTAACATGGCGATGTCCGACTCTGCATGACTTTTCAACTAACTTAAAGTTAGTTATAAAAAGATTAGCTTAAAGTTAACTGTTTATTAACTAACTTAAAGTTAGTTGCAGAAAGTCAACTAATAGTTTTCTTTTGTATTACCTACATTTTAATTAAATATATGTAAAATTTATTTACATTAACTAAATATATTTAAAATTTGTTTAACTATTGGTTATCTAAATTACACTTCGCTTTAAAAAAATATTAAAATATTTGTTACATGTTAAAAACAGAGAAATCTGAATGACAATTAGTTCCAGTGCTTATTCTGTAAGCTATTTATGGCTGAAGTTCATTAGATCCACTAAATAGTTGAAAATACTGTGGAAATAGACACATTTTTAAGATTTGGAAACGTTTATGTAATATGATCTGCTTTTTCAAGTCGTGCTAGTAGTTTGTTACAATGGAAATAGACACCTTTTTAAGATTTAAAATTAATAGACATCAGTAATAACAGCGGTATCCATGATCCATCGATACATCTAAATAAATTTAAAAATGTTATGTGTAATGTTAACTAATAATGTATTATATTTACAGCATCAATCAGCAGAATTTAGGGACCGAGTTTTGAAATATTAAACCTTTTATAATTTATTTCTCCAATTTACTGACTCTAATTTCACAATGTATACAAGAAAATGACAAAAATGTAAAACAAAATTCCAAATAATAAAGAACCATGAGAAAACATGTCGAAACAAAATGCCCTCCAGATAATTTTGGGGTATTTCGGCATTATATGATAGTTAGCTTGTAGCTAGTCTTTAAAAGTCGGTTGCTTACGTTAACAAATACCAAATTTTGGAACATTACTGCATTATATGGTAGTTCGTTTATAGTCAGTCTACTAAAGTTAACAAAAATAAATTCATAATAATGGAGAAACAAGAGAAAACATTGAAATAAAATTCTCTCCAGATAATTTTGGGGCTCTTCTGCATTAGTTAGTTAGTTTTTAAAAGTCGGTTGTTTACTTTGCCAAATAGCAAATTTCGGGACAGCTTTGCATTACATTGTAGTAAACTTATAGTTAGTTTGTAAAAGTAAACTAGAAGTGAATTTTTCTCGTAGTCCACTACAAAATTGCTGGCAGGGTGGTTATTGACATAATGGTTAAACTAGCAAACAAAATTACCCAGCAAAAAATAATTGATGTCATACTTTACAAACGACATCTTAATCGCACCTAAAAATGTGTTTACATATTTTCACTTTTATAAACCAAATATTTTCTTAAAAATGAAAACTCAGTTAAAAGTATAGAGATAGATGTAGAAAAGTCACTACAAATAACATATTCAAAGTACATCAAATGTTGGTGAAAACCAACGAAATTTGCATAAGCGTTGCATTGAAAGAATGTGGTTTATTTTTGACATTCAAATATCGGATTTTTACTGCTTCCAATGACACGCTAATATAAAATTGTGATGAAAATACTACATCTTTTTCCACACTTTTTTTTAAAAGTCAAACCAAATCGCACATAAAAAATCAACAAAAATTGAATTCTTCACTGAAACCATAAAAAATAAAGAAAAAGAAAAGAAACAAACAACAAATATGCACAAAATATATATAATTTCTAAAAAGTAAAAAATAAAAAATCTTCATGTACAAAGGATTTGAAAAATACTTTATACATACATGCATACATACATACATACATACATACATACATATATATATATATATATATATATATATATACATACATCCATCCATCCATACATACATACATACATACATACATACATACATACATACATACATACATACATACATACATACATACATACATACATACATACATACATACATACATACATACATACATACATACATACATACATACATACATACATACATACATACATACATACATCGTGTTTACAAACTGCTTAGCATTTCATATAAATTTATGATAGATTTATGAGGAATTTTCTGTTTGAATTTAATTATCTACTAAACCTTTTAAGATTTCGCAATATTGTGAACAATAACTCCGTTTAAAAAATATTTGTATAAAAATTCTATCTCTAAATGTTATTACAAAATTAAAAAAAAAATATGACGTTATTAATAACAACTTAAATAAAGATATCCTTTTAGAGGAGTTAAGTATTATCAATTTCTTAATTTTATGTTTAATAATATTGAGAAATGTATTTTTTAGTACATGTGTATTAAAGAATATTAATGTGCCATCAAAAAAATTTCACACTTTTTTTCATACCCTAAAATTTAAACATATTCTGCCTTATGCAAAAACGATTACTAAAGTTAACAATGGTTTACTACACATTTTCCATATAAAACAGTGCCTGTGTTCTGTAACTTGATCGAAAAGCTTTCGCATCGAGTAGGCATAAAACAAAAAATTCCATCGTTTCTCGATTTGTGAGTAAAAAGTGTTTCTGTAACATAAAGTGAAAAGAGGCAACATGAATTACGTTTACATTGGAAACTTCCAATAAAATACCTGTCGAAAACTATAATAAAAAGATAAAAACAAAAATTGCCAAACAAATTTATAAACAAAGATTAAATAAACAAAAATATTGAAATTAAATTAAAAATATTTAAGAAATTATTTTTTCGAAATGGACTTTGTAGTCGCTTAATAGGGTGCGAGAGGGATATCTATTAAAAGAATTTAGTTTTTGCGTTAAAATATTTTCTTTCAGCTTCCTTAACATTCTTTTGGAGGGAATGGTTTCGTCAAATGTCCATATGCAAATATTGTTTATCGTTAATATATAACCAATATATTTATGTATATATTTTTTGCTATTTAATACGTTTTCTTTATTATAGAAACGGCCAACCTATGACATTGTCTCCAAAAGTTATTGAACGAATTAATGAAGCTGCTAATATTTTAAAAGTCAATAACTTCGAAAAAAATATGATTAAACCATTCACTGTTTACGGTTTCGACTTGTTTTCTGCTGGTAAGTATGTGAATTTATGATAACTAAAGTATATGAATTTATGATGACATACAAATGTAGCAAATGTATAGTATTTAGATAAATTGACTTTTATAACAAACAAATTTTAATTGACCTTTTGATATATCATTATTGGGTTAGAATAGGTTAATAATAGGATGTATACTTAACATCTGGTCAGTTTTTGAATAAAAGCGGGATCCGCTTTTTGAAGAAAATATTTTGAAAAAACGGGATTTTGAAAATTGTTATTCATTAAACCGGGATTTAATAAAACTTAACATCAAAACAAGTAAAAGTATTGTATTCGACTACTACGAATCTTCAAAACCTTGTCACGGTAGGTAGGTTGATAGGAGGATAGGAGGACTACATCAAATCCGAAGAAATACACCTAGGCCACTATCGGGCCTGTTGTGCGCTCCTTATCATTAAACAAGTAAGAGTGCTATATTCGGCTGTGCCGAATCTTATATACCCTTCACCATAGTGTATTTATAAATTCATTTTCCCGACTATATCATTATTATAGCAATAGCAAAACATAATGAACAACAACAACGCTAAACGATATAAACACACAAAAAACAAAATACACAAGGCTGTAAAACCAACAGACATCCAAACATACGAAACGAAATACAGAAAAAACAAAAACAAAATACAAAACACAATGAAACCAACAGACATCCAAACATGCGAAATTCAATACACCAAGAAAACAAAAACATTATACACAAAGCAATGAAACACACAGCCATCCAAACATAGGAAATTATTGAAGATTTGGATCCCGAAGATATCTGGAGTCTTCAGAAAACTGATTTCAACAGACAGACAGACGGACATGGCTTAATCGACTCCGCTATCTATAAGGATTCAGAATATATATACTTTATGGGGTCGGAAAATTATATTTTGGAAATTACAAACGGAATGACAAACTTATATATACCCTTCTCACGAAGGTGAAGGGTATAAAAAAGAAAAAAACTAATTGAATTATTTTTCTGTTTTCAGAAACTCAGTTTCCTGAACGTAATTCCTAAGAATCTTCCAATCAGTGTTAGTCAAGAATGTTATTTCCGGAATAACATCACTTCCAAGATACTTGGATCTAACTTCGACGAATGCCTGGCAGTGGCAAAGAAAGTGCTCCTGAGTTTCACTGTCCTCTCCACATGCTCTACATTCGTCTGAATCCGCACGTCCAGTTTTGCAGAGATGTGTTCGTAAACCTGTATGTCCACTCAGAATACGTACTAACTAACTTCAGACTTGCTCATTTTGAGGAGATTTTTCGTCTTGCTCTCATCAGGGTCACCCCATAGGATATTTGTGCTTCTACCCACTGTTTCATTATTCCAAGAGGCCTTATTGGATTCTCTCACCCATATTTTTAGTTCAGCTTTTGTTGCGTCGCATGGTTTTGCGTTTGTCAGATTAACTGCCTCGAGCTCCCTTCCCTTTAAAGCTATTACATTCGCCCTTTCGTTACCGACTACGTCCGATGATTGTGTATAACCTTCCAATGTGTCCAGTATAGTACATTGATGACGTGTCCTATAACCGCTTTTGGCCAGTTCGCCTAAGCATTGGTTGAAGTAGTACATATGACACCACTTATACCCAAGCAGCATGTACGCTGAACTCCTGAATTGGTCTAATTACACTATTATAAAGCCAATTTGTCATAGTAGGACTAAGACCCCATTTCATGCCTATAGTAGAAATTTTTGTCTTTCTTGTGAAAAGACAGAAATCTGTATTTGCCGGGTTAACATTGAGGCCTCTCGGTTGAGCCCAGTCCAAGGCCTTATTCAGAGCCTCCTCAGCTCTTTTATACAAGTAATTTGAATGCTTTCCCTTTAAAAGTGTTACCACATCGTCTGCACAGCAGACAGGTATAAGTCCTTTCTCGGTTAGGGTCCTTAGGAGGCTATTCGTGGTAACCCAGAGTAAAGGTGACAAAATGCCACCCTGTGGTATACCGCGAAATACCTTTTTCCTGATAGTTATATCGTACATCACTCAGCTTATCCATCTGTTCTTTAGCATGTAGTTGATCCACTTACGGAGCACCCGATCAACATAAAACTGGTTTTATGGATTGGATAAAATTATCGGTGTGCACGTTATTGAAGGCGACTTCGATGTCAATACATACCGCCAGTATATACAGTTTACTTTCAAAAGATTCACCTATGTAGTGGACAAGTTCTTTTAAAGCGGTTTCCACCGATCGTCCCTTTAAGGCATTTGTCTTGTATACTGCTTTTAAGCATACTATCGGCTATTCGTTCCAAGGTTTTAAGTAGGAGGGACGTAAGACTTATCGGTCGATAGGACTTAGATGTCGCATAGCTAGAATTCCCTGGTTTAGGTATAAATATTACCCTTGCATCCTGTCATTGGGCTTTTCCTCTGCGATTGGTGTTTGTGTATATGTATTACCCCAAGCTACATGGTGGTAGTTGGCATCACAACCTATTACAATTTTCTTATTTTTCCTTTGTACCTCTTCAACCAGTTTCATCAGCTCCGACGTTGGTGGTAGTGTCAGAGAATCGAAGGGCAAGTAAACAGATGCAACGACCTTGCTTCAGCACCGTTACATCCGATGTGGATAATCATGTTGAGAGGAGAAAACGTAAGTTCTTGTGACATAAGATACATGTTCTCGGTCGAGACCCTGTATCAGCGTAGAAAAGTTGGAAATTTACGTGATTTAATCCAGAAACCTTGTTGCGACTCGTCCAAGGTTTCCGGATTAAAGCTATGTATATGTATTTTACCTGTGTTAATTTTAGCCATCAGAACGTTGGTAGTCGTTTCGTTCCGATGGAGGTTTATTTGAATAAAATCAATCATGGTCATCCATTAAACCGTCTTCTAGCGAGTTTTAACCTACTCGCTCTTTGGATTTGACTCCTCCGGGCAGTGATGCCAGGAGATTTTTTTTAGAAATCCCTACGCTTATGAGAAAAAATCCCTTTTTTCCCTACACCCACTTTTTATTTTCCCTACACTACTTTTTTCCAATTTTTTCCAAGTTTATCTTAAAAAAATACAAAAATAACATAAAAATCTAAAATATTAGCTCTGTTTTATAATATACATATTATTATAATATACTTATTATTATATTTACATATACATATTATTTATATTTATAATATACATATGTATATGTATTTTTTTAAATTTTTAGGAATGAAATTTCTAGAATTTAAATTTTTAATTTTTTACTTTCAATTTTACATCATACAAATTTTTCAACCCTGACTCTTCAGTTAAGATTAAAAAAAAAAACAAGACAGTTGAGAGATTTATGGGAGTATCACGATTCGATGTTAAAAATTTATTTTATGTGCCCCCAACAAAAATTTTTTCATAAAATTTTATATAATTATTTTAAATAAGGTTTTCTTTTGCGTTTACTTTTTGCGGTTTACTTTTATAAATTTTCAGAACATTAGATTATTTTTTTCAATCCTGAGTTACTGCATTAAGCCCCCGACTACTCTATCTATAAGGAGTCAGAATATATCGCCCTACAGGATTGGCATAATCCAAAAAAGTCGTTTCAAGAAAAATGGAAATTAATATGTAATGACATTTAACTATTTTCTTTGATAACTTTTAAACAAATCAAGGGATGCTAAAAATCCAAATTCAGATAGTTGAGGTTAATATGTTTCTCATCTAAATTGAAATTCAATTTTTAGTTGTCTAATATTCACGAAAACGTGGGTTTTAGTTTTTACGTTTACAAAAAATCGATTTCACATCGAAAATAATAGGCATATTAGAAATTTGATAAATCTATATGAAAGATTTTAGTGTGTCGCATGTTTTGTAGACCTCAGTTCAAGAAAACCGAATTTTGGATTATGCCAGGCTTGTAGCGATATATAGGTACACATATTGTAGAAATTACAAGCGGAATTTTTACTAACGATACACTTAAAATTGATTTCATTTTTAATTTTAAAGTTTAATACATGAAAGAATATATTTTTAGTTGATAAAAACTATGAAATTGAAAAAATCCCTACAACTTGACAATAGTAAGAAATCTTTCCCTTTTTCCCTACACGTGAAATTTTTGAAAAAATACCTACAAAAAGGGAAAAATCCCTACACTTGGCATCACTGCCTCCGGGTAACCTGAAGTGGCTATTGATGCAGTGGGTAATATTGATGACACTGCGGTGTCCTTATCAGGCATAGGAATAGCAGTATTTTTAATTGACACCTTTCCAATTTTGGAAAGCACAGCTGTTCGTCAGAAGACAGCAGCTCAACATTTTGACCTCCAAGAATTTCCAGTATACGTTCATTAGCCAGTTTAATGCCCCATCCTTTAATGTAGACAGTGGATTTTAAGAGCACCGGAAGCTTGCTCTTCTTTGCCAGTCCCAGCTTAGCGCCGTCCCAGGGATGAGGAATACTTTCCACCAAATTCTTCAAAGTGCAAACACATTGGTGAGATGCTAACCTCATCAACATCAAGCCCATGCTGAACTCGTTTGTCCTTTGAAGTCGGATTATCGGCATCGTAAACTGCATAGAAGAGATCGTCCCGGTGTCTTCTTCTGGCAACTTTGGCGTAAGATGGCGGCTCTTTTCCTTTTCCACCGTCCAGCTTCTCCTTCCTCGTTTTTTTGGGTCTTTTTTTTGAGCTACCCTTACCTTCGAGGTTGATTTCGTCGACATGTTCGTCTTCGGAATATCTGGCTTGTCGTTGTCACCCTTACTCGCAGGATTCTGACTTGAGTTTCTTTTGAGTGAAGTATGGCTTGGCTTCGACTGTGTATTAGAAGACGGGGATATCTTTTTCTTCTTAGGTTTAGTCTCAGTTGTCAACTCCTCGGGAGACCTGATCCTCTTTGCCTCAGATCTTGTAAGAGTCCGATTCTTCTTTGATTTCCTGAAGCATCTTTTTTAAATTCCTCCTCTGTGCTCCAGTAAGTCTTTTCTTAGTAATGGGTAGTTTA